CATTTTCTTAAAAATTTAGACAAAGTTCCTAGTGCATTTTATTAAGCTTTACCTTTGGTGTTAAGCAGTGACTTATTAGATTTCCCTTTTAAATAATTTCTGGAGTGAAGATTCTTTGGCTTTGGGGGAATATGCTATCTAATGACAGTCTAACATCTTTTTTTTTTTTTTTTTGGTAAAGAAAAATAGAAGTCTACTATTAGATACCATAAGAGATACAGATTTCAGAAACAGACAGACGCAATATGCAGGCTTTCTGTAATGAAATCACCAACAGCTGAATTCTCACTTACCCTGGATTCCTTCACCTCTCCACTCACTGGAGCAACATAAAGGTGCCTGACTGTAAGTGAGAACCAAGCCCTATTTGTTTATGCTAATCTGAGTACTGAGTGCCAAGCTAGTATCTTCTGCTGCCTGAACATTTTAACCATACAAAAACCCCAATTGTGATAGCAGTAACATCACCTCAACGGCTATTTTACACTACAGTACTGTCTGTACTTTTTTTATATCTGGAATCCAAATCTGTTTATGCAAAAGGGTGTTTAAATTACTCTGCTAGAGCACTGCAATTATTGTACTTAGTAAAAAAAAGTCACTAAACACTAAACTGCTCATTTACAGCTTATTTAATTATTTACATAATTTTAGGACACATTAACCTAAACCATAAGTAGAATTAGCTTTTTGCCTTACCATAAAGTACAAATTAGAAGTTAAAAATGTTTAAGAAATCTGATAATATTTACACACGTTCAGCTTAAGTTATGGTTGCTCACATCGTATGTTCTATGTACACATAGCAAAATGATATGATCACTACTGATATAGTATTGTACCCTGGCCATCCCACCCTAGATTATTTTCAAGAAACAGTTAATATTTTTGCCTTTTTTTCTTGGTTCCCTAAGGACTTTGTTGGTTTTGAAAACTTAACTAGTGGACAATGCTGTTATAAAAAGAGAGAGAAGAAATAGGCAAGCAATGTGAGGACTAGTCTAATTTCAGATGCTCGGAGGTACAGTACTATCATCATGTCAAATGGTGCAATGCTCCATACGAATTATAAGCATTGATCTGCTGATATAGAAATGCCCAGTTACCCTGTATAGTAAGTTGGTTTTTTTTTTAAATACATTAATCTTTTTTTCTCAAAAATATATTCGTACACTGGTTGATGGTAGAAACAAAACTATTATTAGCTTATTCCTTTAACACACCAACATATGAATGTGTGTGCGCATACATATACACTCATTACGTGTATATATACACACATATGTCCATATGGGCATTTAGGTATATGTCCATATGCACATATTGTTGGATAATGTTTAACATCCGTTCACTTATGTTTAGTACTGTGTTATAGTATAGAATTGGAACACAGTCTAATAATTATAGTGAAAATTAATTGAGCTTTAGTTTTAATGAATATTTGTGTGAAATAAATAGGATTTGTTCCCCGGGTGTAAGACCACCAACTCATTTCTTCTATGCATTGTGCTTTTGTACCTTACAGATTTTATGTCCTTTGTATTAGAATGTAAAAACTCTCTGAAGAACTCTGCAACACGCTGTTCTCTAAGACTCTGTTTGCCTCCCCTGGGAATGAGAAAAGAAATGGTCACAATGTCATTGCTTGAGTCTTTCTTCCCAGTCATTAAACTGTGATAGGATAGAAACATAACATTACTTATGCAAAACCAGAAATGTCGCATGAATTTTCAGTTCTGAAAATGTGTATCATACTTACTAGCAGTCATGTACAGTATATATTTACAGATTGATCTCAAAGATTTCATTAAAACTGTGCCATGTTATAGTCATAATTTGCCCATGAATTTCACAAAGATGAAAAACACCTTAATTGCTGGCTATCATGGCTAATAGAACCAAAATATGTGCAGCTATAATTATGTTACAAGTTTTATCTAAATTATTAACTTTGATATTTTGCTTATTGAAACTAACAATAATTAACACGATTAAAAGGATCTAAAATATTCATTTTCAGTCAATTCTAAACTAAAAGAAAATTTATTCTAGTTTACCTGGAGGGTAGCACTCATAGCAAACCCCATATCTCATGTACGTTGGCAGAATTTCCCACTTTCACTCAAGTATCTCAGAAGAGGAGTCAGGGCTCACCTTGGCCTCGAGTTATCCTTTTCCTTTGACAGTGCCTCGCCAGTCTTTCTCACCCCCATCTTTTTGTATCACAGTGTTAAGCCTTAGTATGAAACGATAGGATCCTTCTCTTTCACTAATTCTATACACCACAGTAATAGTCAGAAGGACATAGTAAAAATGAAAGTGCTCCTCCCCCCTGATAATATTTCTTTCCTAGTGACACCTGAGCAGAAACCAGACATTTTCTTTCACTCTCTGAATAGCGACATCAGAAAGTGTTATGGCTTGTACTGTAACTTCAGATAAATTAATATGAAGTTCTAGGATTTAATCTCTGTGGTTTTCATAATAGCTGATGCAGTAAACCAATGCAGAGAGTCAACATATTCTCTGCAAGGTTTTATATTTGACATGCATCAACCACAAACAGGCTGTGAGCTTCCTGTATTCACACTATGCTTCTGTGAAATAAAAAAGGAATTGGCATCAGTTTGTGAAATGAAAGAAAAGCATGTACTGAAGAATACTATAAGACTGCTTTTATTTATAATTAATACCATTTTTAAAGAATAGGCTTTTGAAGAGAGATACTGAATTTTGATGTGGCTCTTTCTTAGAATTGGGAGAAAATTCCAACATGATTCATACCTATCAGCTGAAATTCCAAATGCATCTACAAAGCTTATTGTGTTATGCATGAAATGCAGACAGAAATTGTGTGAACAAAAGGCAACATTTTGACTTGGGAAGTTAATCACGTGATGAAAGCCTGTCTCTACATATTGCAGGGCCTGAACCCGGAGGCAGTACCTGAACATACACACAACTCCCTTGAAAACAACAGGCGGTGCGTGTGCTGGCAAATCCCATTTCAGGCTCCAAACTATTCTCTCCCATTTGAAGGAGAAATAAGCATGTGATATGCTCAAAACAAAGTCAGAAAATTGGCCTGTTAGTTCCCAGAACTGTTTTCTTCCTATCACTGTCATTCACTGTCAAACAGGGGAAAAAAACCCACAGAAAATCACTCTTTTAAAGTAAGAACAAAAAATTCAACAAAAATATTTTATGAAAAAAAAATCTTAAGAACTGTCTTAAAGTATTACCAAAGGAATAATTAAATGGGGAAAAAGTATATGCCTGAAAAAATTCTTTTGCTATTTGGAAGATACTTGAATTCTAGTTTCTTTCAAAAATTTGTACACAGATGAGAGGTAGCATAGATACAGCAGATGTGGCTTCTGCTTCATGAAATAGTTTGTGTCAAACAGTATTGGGGAACGGATTTAGTAAAAGCCATCAGGAATTTATACTTTTCATACATTTCTTGAAAATTTTTTTTTTCATCACAGAAAAAGGTTCCACAATGGACTAAATAGCAAGCTGTACTTTGCCTATAAAAGTCTATATTTTGTCTATTTTATTTTGCCTATAAGAGTAAAGCTCTATGGAATGAAAAAAAAAAAACAACCCACTTTTACTTCAAACAGTTTCTAAAGCAAAACTGAAATGTACTAGTTTTTCAGTGGAAATCACCCTAAAGCAGGCAACATTTAATATTGTAATTAAACTTTTAAAGTGATGGCTACCAAATGTTTCCCCTTAAACAATGCATTAAGGAAAACAAAATAAAAAGTGAAATGGCCTTGCCTAATCCAGACTGAGAAAGTACCCTGTCAGTATTTTCTGTACTGAATTACATATGCTCGGGTCTTTACTGCTGAAAGAAGTACGATACCTTTAATCAAACTGGACGTAAGGTGTTAAGCATAACAACAGGGGCAAGCATAACACTGCAAAGACTGCAAACCTGGGAAAAAAAAAATCACACAACTCCACATGAGTATTTCAGACTAAGGAATGTACTATAACTGACAACATTCATTTGCACAGTGTGTGTGTGTGTTTGTATACACACACTTTTTCATATATGTAGCCTTCCCTCTCCTTGGCCCTGTATTTTATAATTGCTCTCTAGCTCTCCCTATCCTCGAAAGGCAGAGCACCATTGGTTTCCTTCAGTCACCTAAAGAATTACTATTTGGCCAACCAGTTTTGGCACTTTGGACAGATGATTTCCTTCCCCCAACACAAAACAGCAGCATATCTACCCATTCAGAGTGGATGCATTTTTATACCATTGCTACATTCCTCTGTTGATCACAACTACAGTCATTGTGATTGTGAACATATGTTCTCTCTTTAAAACCCAAACAAAACTAGTGCTTTTTGCTTCAGCTTCTGTGCAAACACCCAACCCTAACATTATCAGTCAAAGGTTTAGTTCTTTCAAAAAATATCAGGAAATACCTGGAAATGGTTGGGAAACCTCTGACCATCATCATCTTGGAAAGATGATAGGCACTACTTGTTTTCAAGTTTACACATTTAAAAGGTAAAGTGTATATGTTCCATAAGCATGATAACAACTTAGTACACTCTCTTAAGTGTAGACGCATGTCTTGGATATGCAGTTTCCCTGGGAATGGTATGTACTGCTGTTGAAACTAGAACTTGTTTCTCAAATGCCTTTCTATAATTTGTATCACTAAAATCAAATGGCCATTAAAAAAAGAGAGATTGAGGGACAATGAGACAGAAGTGATTGTCAAAATCCAATTTGCCTTCACACTCAAAATGCACTTATATTTTGATAAGGGGATATGTCCATACTGCAACTTAACGTATTTATGATTTAGCAGATACAACCAAAACATTATAAAAACAGACCATAGAGTGGGCCAGCAACTAAGGTGTTTTAAAATAACTTTTTGTCCTGAATAGAATTTTTCTAAGTCCCACTTTTGGCTGTACAACCGATTTGAAGAGAAATCCAGTTCTTGCTTCCTGTGTGGCTTTGTTTCTTAGTTCACATAGTAAAGCCAATAGACAATATTGAAGAAGGAAAAAACAACAGGGAAGAATATGCGCGACCATCGATCTATGGCATTTACATCAGTCAAGTCAGGAATGGTAATTTTCAGTTGAGATGCACGTCTCCGTAGCCTGCTTTTCTTCTGTGCCACATGTCGCTCCAGGGCATTGCGACCAAAGCTGTGTCTGGGTAAGCCAGCTTTCCGGTACTGGATGCTTGAAGTGTCATAGGCCAGCATAGTGCTTCTAGGGTCCCCAAGCCCCATCACAGCCTCGGAGGCAGCCATCTCATTTTTAATTTCAAGTGTGCTCAACAAAATATTTTCATGTGGATCCATCTGTAAAAAATAAGCAAGCAGATTTAACAGGAGAGAAAGGAAGCCCAATCAGTTGCAAACTGAAGCCATGCTGACAAGGGCTAGATCTAACATTACTAATTGACTGGATGTCAGCCTGTCTAAAAGACTTTAAGCATAGCCATAACTATATTTATTGACATTTATTTGTGAACTCAAGGAGCAATAAAGCCAGTATAGTAGCATGGAATAAATGCTATTTCCCTAGACCCCATGTTCAGTGAGCAGAAGCAATACCAGGAAACGCAGTACATGCTCAACTCCTGAAAGTGGGATTGTGCTGCTGGGTAGGGTGTCTGGGGCGAACATTGAACTTTTCAGGGGTTTTGGAGAGAAATCAAATGGAAAAGGGGCTGCTTTGTTTTGGTTTTGATTCTTTCAAAAGAAAGCTTCTGCTCTGACAGAAACTTCAGGTATTCACAAGGTCTCTGCCACTGTAAAACGAAGCCCAGAGCACAGCACAAGAGAACGCAAATTTTCAGTCCCTATGTTCCAAACAGCAGCACCAGTTACTTGGGGAAAGGCACTGACCTATATGCAAACTCCATTCCCCAGTTCTAATGAATTTCATAATTACGGTGCATGCTGTGGAGACCTGAATGCTGGAATAGCAGAGATCTGCAATTTGGAGCAAGGAAAAACACATACAGAGTGTAATCACATCAAATGTACATTGAACAGTTGTTTCAATGGGTAGTTTTATCTACTATATATATTTTTTAAGGGCAGTTCAGTGAGAAAAATATTAATGCAATGTTGTAAAAAAAAAAAAGCAAAACCCTGAAGCAATTAAGGGGATTTCAAAGATGAGGAACTAAATTCTACTCCTAGGCAATCTGGAGTAAATCTGAAGTATGACAGGAGAACTTCAAAATAATCCATTTATAGAAAACAAATATAAGGTTATTTAGGAAGTTCCAATTCTCCTCACCCTTCCCTCTAATTTTATTAAATTGTGTGATTACAGAGTATGATTAAATAAAAATACTTTAAAAGCAATAAAGCTAATGAGCAGCTAATTAAGTACACTGAGTTAGCAATGGTAGTGCAGATAGACTCCAGGCCAAATAAGAGATGAAACTGTCCCAGAGTTTCTCTAAGAATAACTCATCCACATTATTCATTTATAATATACATAATATATACTATATTATTGAAAGTGCACTAACTGTGACTTTTGTGGATTTCTAAACAATAATATGGCATTAGTCTATTCTGTAATATCTACAGTCATCAGCCAGCACCCCGCTGCACTACCCAATATAGCACTGTTTTAGCCATTATTAAAAAAAAAACCAAACCAAAACCATGTAAAATTTCACACGGCACAGGGAGAGAATGAGGTTGACAATGGTTGCTTTTTAGTGGCATCCACTGCACAGTATTATGAACTGGGAAATCAGATACTCACAAAAGTACTTGGACTTACTGAAACACTGCCATTTGAGTGATTACATCTGTTCAATCAATAAAAATTGGCATCACTGAGATGCCAGATTTCCCTCTCTCTTTCTTTTTTTCCCAATGTATGGGAGTTTGCACCCCTCTAGTTTCATTATATTTTAGTTTTAGTTTAAATGTAATGACTCAATATGAAGCAGCCAAAATAATCTATTTTCAGTTGTGTTCCATCCAAGCAATATGAAACCTTTGAATTCTCTAGCATGTTAGGGAAATCAGTCTTTTTTGAGAAGCACTGGAAAAATGGGAAAGTTGAGCTAGAACTCAAGAAAAATTCCTTTAAGAACTCTGTAGCCTGATACTGAGCATGGTGATGAAATGCTGTGTTCTAGCCAGGGAGGCAATCAAATCAGTTCTCATCTGCATTAGACAAAACTAAGGTAAAAAGAGTATTCTGCTATTATAAAACAAACAAAAGCAAGCATATGTAAAAGCTTTCAAATAGATCTGTGAAGCTTCTCAACAAAGCTTCCATGCTTTTTCTTATTTTATTAAGGAAAGTCTTATCTGATTTTTGGGGTAAGGCAAAATTGGCTGTCATTTTTATTATAAGATCTCAGACAAATAAGACAACTCTCAGTATCCTAAAAATAAAAGCAATTACAGGCACTTGGCATTCATTGATCCCAAGAACATGTAAAAACAAATAGGGGAGGTATCTTACAAGAGGGGTGCAAAGCCATTTGGAAACTACATTTTCCATAGTTTCACATAGCCTTATGAAAAGAACAGAAATTTTAGTTCTAATGACATCAGTGGAAGTTTAACATAACATCCACTAATGCAGTGGGTTTACCCCTTAGCCCAGAGCCTGGGTTATTTTCACCTCAATGTTGTACATTCCAAGATACTATCTTTGGAAAGATTTTAGAGCCAACAAATTTGTTCACATCTTCAATCTTCTTAGGATGAATCTACTTTAAGAATTTTATCCTTCTGATCTGCAATATTAGAAACTTGAGTGCTCTTTGCACTCTCATATGCTTTCTATGCAACACAAATGCAAGAAAAGCTATTTTAGTCCAACAGTTAGATATAGACATGTTTTAGTGACATGATATCATTCTTTCAGTTATCTTTTTGCTTTGATTCTTTTGTCACTTCTGTTCTCATTTCAGTAAATTTCTTAACGCAGCAAACTGTGGCAGATCTGGTAATCTTGGCAGTAGTTAGTAAGATTAGTGATGTTGGGCAGAAAAAACATTTAGCAATATTCTAAACTATATTCTAGGAAAAGCATCTTCTTCTGCACATATCACACTGATATCTGAGTTGGAGCACAGCATTTTTCAATATTCCAAGAATTTTTCATAAGTAATGATGCAAAGTACAGTAAAAATTAGTGATGGGCGAACCTTCAGGTTTTACAATAGCTGGGTAAGCACCACAAAGTTCAGGTGCTTCTCAAACACTAATTTGACCCTCCTGCACCTGGAACAGTGGATTGACCATAATAAGAACTGCATTTTTCATGGTATTTTGGATTCCCAATCTGAAGAACTCCCAAGGTTCCAATCCAGAAGTACAAATGAATGTGAAAATAAAAGAAACAAAGAAACATACAACAACAAAACCCAGAAAGAAATTAACCTAACTTTTCAACCTTTGACAAAAGGTTCCTTGACAGATAGAGAGAGATGGGAGTGTTATTCCCACCAAGCAGGTTCGCCCAACTCTAAATAAAACATGCTTTGTAACTAAGTGAAGCCTGACAGAGAATGATAATGAATTACATTTATTGCACACAGCACCGCCCATTCAAAAGGATCCCAAAGCGCTTTACAAGCTTTAGAAAGAAGAACCACTTCACTTCCAGTGAAGCGCAATCACCTCTGAGGCGAAATGTGGTGACTGACAGTGCAGAACAATACACTATATTTTAGTCAAAGAAATGGAGTATGCTGTAGCCAATTGAAACTATGGGGTGGGTGAGTGGTGGTGGGGAATGTTAGGTAAGCAGAACAGTTACATAAATTGATATTTGGCCAGATGCTTGGGGTTGAGATGACCACGCTATAAAAAAGTGCCATGGGATCTTTAATGACCATAAGTGGTCAGGACCTGAATTTTAATTCTCTGAGGATAAAAACATTAGAAAACAATGAAAGATACCTTTGTTGAATACATTTCTGGACAATGATATGTGCCAATTATTCTTCTGTCCTGTAAGTTAATAAAATCAAGACCAGTTTCCTTAGAGATAAGGCAGCTATTATCTTTCATTTAAAATTAAAGCACTCTAGGGTATTAATAGGACAAGTAATTAAAAGATATAGGGACCTCTAAGCCAACAATTAGCATAAGTATATTCTGGCTTCAGAGGTGCTACTACTGCCTTGCCCTGCTCCTCAAGGTAACATAACTTTGTGATGTAAATGTAATTTTTCCAGCTGGTCACTTGACCAAGGAAGATATGATGATATGAAAACAATTGTTAAAATTATTCTGGGGGAAAAGTAAGTGTAAAAGTGGTTTCAAAAGGAGGTGGAAGAAGGTTAAAAAGATCTCTTGGTGCTGAAAGATTGTTCAACCATAGAACTAGACTCCTTATGGTGAACAAGAAAGTTCAAACTTAATGGAGAAATTCCCAGGGACAAGGAAGGAAGGGAGGATATGAAGATGAAGAAAAAGCAGCAGCCAATACCACGGAAATAAAAGGTGAAAGCAGAAGTGGAGGAGAAATGACCAGAGCTCAGCAACCATGCAAGAGGGTGGGGTTTTTATAAATCAATCTTAAAGGTGGATGACAAAATATATGATGCAAATGATATTCACTTATAGGTCCAGGTCAACTAGAAGAAAAGCTGACTCCGGAGCCTTGAAAGAGGCCATGACCTTTTTGATGGCCTCAAACAAAGGGAATACAAAGGAGAGTGTAGAAATGTTACCATTATATATTCTTCCTGCTACCTAGAAATTCCAAAATGATGGCTTTCTTGAGGAATTCCTCTTACACTAATATATTAGCAACTGTAAAATACAAGGAAATTACAACTCCCACACACATACACACAAACAAACGTATGTACATTAGAAATCCTCCAGTGATGACCGAATCTTCAAAGACGCTAACATCTAGTAAACCAGCATCTTGGTAATTATGCTCTACTGTTATGCCAAACACAGCTTTATAGGTAGGAGGTAAATTTATATTGATGAATTGAAAAGATATAATGTTGACGACTTTACTTCCTCATATACTGTTCATTTTCACCTATAACCTTCAATTACAGGCAGGTACTGATGGCTCATTTTAATGGCAGAATGGCTCAGAAGCTGTGGATAAAATAGGCAGTGGGGCTAGAATTTCTGATGGAAAGACAAAACAGTTGCAAATTCAAAAGAAATATCCTTTTGTTAAGTGGGGCTGCCACGAGCACCAAAAGCAAAATATGGTGAGCTAGACCAAGAGGGGAGACCAGAAGTACCCAGTCTGTTACAAAGATTAACACCTGGGATTAGGTCTCAGCATTTATAGGTCCTGTGAACTGACATTCTTAAGAACTGAAGACAGAAATAAAGGTCCCTTTTGCATCGAAGACCAACATGACATGCTTAGACATATAATTTAATTTGTTAGAGATAAAGACCTTAGTATTATCTATAGCATAGATTCCCACCTCTTACAGGCTGAGTTTTGCTTGGAAAACCAGTAACATGCTATTCCTGACTAGTCACAGTAGTTCTGGCAAGATCAGGTGAAAGTACGAAGTGCGCTTTACGTATAATAGGGATCCTCCACCTCATCAGCAAGGCTTGACTTATTGATTAGGAACCACTGATCTCTGGGGATTGCACTGACTACACAAGGTAATGTGTGGAAGGTAGATAGTCCTGTATAAGCTGCTGCTAGGTTCACTCTGGAAGAAAAAAGAATTAATGATTTTCAAATGGCACCTGCTTAAAGCTCTACAAATATTTTTGGCATGATAAGCAAGTCTATTGAGATAAAGTTATATGAACTCATAAAGCACAAATGCCTAATATTTCAAAACATCCATATGTGAAACAATGTCCTTAAGAATGTAACAAACACTGAATTTCCATTGTCTCTACAAAATTGAATTTATTGCCAGTATTGCAGTAACTGTTTATGAAACCACATTAGCATTCATTGGCTTGCATTGTATTATGCACCTAAGATTTGCTGTAAAGCATTCAGTTAGAGGACAGTAACATTAGGTTGACTTATAATTTCAGGTTACTTTGTTTGGTTTCAGGTCAGAAAATCCAGAGAAGCTCTGCAAATTCAATCAGGATTTTCTTTAGGTTCTTGAACTTTTTAAAGCCTAAAAACCTAAGCAAAAACCCAAGAGACCTGTAAGAACTAAAAAAAAAAAAAAAAAAAAAAAAAGTGACAAAAAAGCAAGATATGGACACACAGCTTTAACACTTATCTAACTGCTTGTAGTTCAACTTTTAGGCATCCAGTTTTACCCTCTGATATATGTGATTCCTTGATCATTATCATCAGTAACACATCAATAACTTAGTCGTAAGTATTGTAGGATTCTGAAAAAATGGTTAAAAACATACGATTTCTTTTGGCATCCATTACATACACACAAGATCCCATACTTAAAGACATTGAAGAATAAGTCCTCACATACAATGGAAGAGGCTAAATTATGTCTTTGGCTTGATGACATTTGAATAAAAATCGTGAAATATGAACTTGTTCAAACTGCTGCACAGAATCCAATGTTCTAAATCAAAAGCCAAAAAGTAAAATAAGCAAAATCAGGACTGCTGTCTGAATTATGGCACAGAATAGGAAAAAAATGGGGAAACGGCCTACTGGTGTCCTGTCCTCAGCTTGAACCTTACACCAAGATCTTATAAAATATCGCAAAAAAATCCCTGGGGTTTTTGGAGTAAAGAGGAATAAATCACCTTAGCCAACCAAGAAAGAAAAAGTACACTGTGATTCTGTAGCAAAACATCCTCCACTTCACTTTTGGACAAGGTAATTCAGTTGAATGTGGTCTCTAGTAATGTGGAAGGAATAAAATATGTAATTAAGGTTTTGATGTTGTACATGTAATTTCCACTCTATGTAGCAAATACAGTTGACGATAGACAGTAAACAGATATCTGATTCAGGAAATAAGTCTGTAACTTTACTTAAACAGATACATTAATTTAATGGGACTTAAATAAATGTTAAGGTTAGTCATGTTTTCAAGTTTTTTCCTGTGTATGAGACTCATTCTCAATCCAAAATCTCGAATAATGCATATATACATAAGGAGGAATCAATTTTTTTTTTCTTTATCCTACAAGAACATAACACAATAGTGGAGCTAAACATTAATTAAGGGGAATTTAATTCAGAAGCCTTCAAATTTGAATAAGCTTCATATTGACAATATTTAAAGGTAGTTGCTCTCCCTTCTAGAAATTTCAGGTACATATTTCTTTTTTCCTCCTGTAGATTGCAAATTCATTGCTCAGATCAAAACAATTCTTTGTAAATGATTCTACCTTAAAAATTAAACCCTTCCATGAAACAAGAAACCTCTCCTATGTTAAAGATAAGCATCAAAGACTGCTCTAGGGGAAAAGTTGAAAAATTTAAAAATTAATCTACCTGAGCTTCCTGAAAGCATTTATTTTTACATGGCAAATTTTGTAAATACTAAAAGGAGGGGGAAAAAAACAAACCAACAAACAAAAAACTGTCTTTGGTGAAATCCAGCCAATCTGGAATTTTTAAAATTTCAGTTACAATTTTCAGTGACAATTTTTTACTACTGAAGCATTTAGGAGGAAGCAAAGGCAGGTGATTTAGAATAGAAGTCTTCTGGGGTACCAGTTAACAGCAGCTCTAAATCCTACTGTTTTGCCAAGAAACAAGGTGTTAGGCAGCCAGGTGCGTACTGATACTGCTCTGATGAAGTATTCGTTAAAATACCATCCCATTTACATATATACATTTAATTCTTTTTGAGATAATATAAATGAATAGCACATCAGCAAGAACCTACATCCCAGAAGGTGCTCTTTCCACCTGTCATATATAAGACCAAAACTTCATCAAACTTGTTATGCGCATAAGCGAAGTCTCCTATTATGCTATCTTACAAAATATACTTTAATAGATATACCTAGCACCAAAAATCTACTACAGAAACACAGCAAAATTGCTTATATAAGAAAGCTTCATGAAAGATTAAAAATGCATGGAACATTTATTTATCATAGCAACTGGCAAAATTTCTAAGGTATAAATTGCACTTAATTATGGTTTTGATATATGAAATAGACAGTAAAAATAAAGCTGATAAAGTTACTCCTCTAGAACAGACTTCTGTAAGAAACATAGATGCTATTTTTCTTGTTTGAAGTCAAATACAACATGCAAAGCACTATACAGCGTACACTTGTCATGAGAGTGAGTGGACTGTATGGAAGTCTACCAGTGTTTTATCCATTTGACCATATACTCACTTGTTAACAGATTAAGGCTTGTGATTTTGAGGAAGACCAAATTATTCTTGGGCCCAGTCCAAAGATTAACATGGCCCGAGGCAGCATGAGGTCCAAGGAAAAACTTTTTGAGCAGAAGCAAAGATCAGATAAAACACTAGAGAAAAACTGCAATTAATTCAAGAAAAAAAATCAAAATAAAATTCTTGAGATTCTTCTATGGACAAATCACTGACAAGTTTTCACTACAATGAAAATAAAGATGAATTTCCAACTTTTGACAATAAATTTCTGAAGTTAAAAAAAAATATCTAGAATTGTACTTATTATGATCATGTTCAGTGCTGATTTAGAAGACTGAAATACTACCAGTTCCACGGCTATAGGTACTGCAAGGCTCAGAGGACTAGTCATGACAATATTAAAATAAAAAATGTTCTGCTTTAAAATAATAATAAAAAAAAATATCTATATTTGTTGACTGAATTAGAACATTCCTGCATTATTTACTTGCACGCTGATAGTCTGCTGTTTTGGGGAGAGTAACATTTTGTCACTCATTTAAAAATGAGTGACAGGAATGAAGAAACTTTGTTTTGTTGCCAAGACATGGTTAGTAATTTCAGATTTGTTTCTAAATAAATGTCTGTGTATGCAAAATATATACCAATATTATGTATCATTGCAAATTTTATATTATAATTAAATTGGTTTTGTATATACATTAATTCTAA